CCCTGCCACCCGCAAGGCCCCCAGCCCATCTGGTCGTGTCCTTTCTCTTGGCTCCCGGCAGGGCATCCAGAGACGGATAACCGTGACCTTGCTGCATGAGACAGGCAGCCACATCCGCTGGAAGGAAGTTCGAGAGCTGGTCGTGGGTGAGTGAGGAGGTGGGGGGCGCCTTGGGGGCTGGGGCTGGTTTGGCGGGAAGGATGTGGACCACCCCACCTGAGTCCTACCACAGTTCCGCCCCTGCTGCTGTGTGACGACGGCTGTCACCTGGGCTCTGTGCCTCAGGCCCTCACCTGGACAGGAGGGCCTGCACCCCAGGAATGGGTCTACCGAGCTGGGGCTGCCGTAACAAAGGGCCACAAGCCACGTGGCTTAAAACGACCGAAATTTCCCCTCACAGCTCCGGAGGCACAGTCCCAGGCAGGCGTCGGCCGTTGGCCGTCCTCTGAAACCTGTAGAGAAGGGTCCCGCCCGGCCCATTCTAGGTTCTGGTGGCTCGTGGGAAACGCTTGGCACTCCCTGCCTTGTGGACACATCGTTGAAGCCTCTGTCTTCACGTGGCCACTTCTTATAAGGGCACCGGTCAGCTTAGATGAGGGCCCCCTACTCCAAAGTCGCCTCATCTCAGCTAGTGACACCTGCCAAGACCCTGTCTGCAGTGAGGTCACATTCTGAGGTGCTGGGAGTTAGGATGGCCATGTGTCTTTTGGGGGGGGCCGGTCAAGGCATAGCGGTCACCCAGGACCTTGGGGTTGTCCTCCGTGATGTGTGAACTCCATCCATCAGAGACGTGTCCCCAGCCAGCTGTGAAGAACATGTCCTCCCAGTTCTCATGCAGGGATACGGACAGCGTGTCGCCAGCACAAGGCCACCCTGCCCCAGCCCTGCCCTAGAGCCGATGGTTCCTTGGGAGGCCCGGCTCTGTGGCCCATGGGCAGCAGCTCAAGGGCCATGTCCCTGGAGTTTGAAGAAGCGGGTCTGGGGTACAGCAGCAGGGGACGTGACCACTCCTCGAGGAAGCAGAGGGGTCACCTTAACTCTCGCTGCCAGAGCAGGAGTGGTGACCGAGGCCACCAGACAGGATCCCTGCCTCACGTGGCTCTGGCTCCCTCCACAGTCAGGGGTGGGCGGCTGGGCGGGGGGCTGGGCGGGCTCTGTCTGAGATGCCCCTGGCCGGAGGCGCCGATGGCACGCACAGCGTTTCCTTTTTTTTTTTTTTTTAACGTGTAAACAGAAGAGGGAACATTTTTTCCTTCTCATTTTGCTAGTATTTCCTTTTCCAACAGGTAGGGGGGCCTGAGCCTTCTGGGCTGAGTGATCGGAATCTGTTGGTTGGGGAGAGAGAGATAGACAGACAGACAGACAGATGGATTGAGAGAGGGACACTATGGCTGAGAAACGACGCTCAGCACTCGGCCTGCAGGAGGGGAGACGGTGGAGGGCACACTGACCGGGAGCACAGGGCCGGCTGCGGACCTGTGCGGGCCTCCCCGCCCACCCACCGTGTGGCCGTTTGCCAGACGCTCTGGTGGCCACATGGGAGCCAGTCCCCTGACAGGCCTCAGTCAGAAGCTCCCGCCCAGGCAGGGGCGGCGAGCGGGGACCCAGCACCCCTCTGCCCTGCCGAGTGATGTGGGCCACGGCCTTTCCCGCAGGTCGCATCCGGAACACTCCGGAAACTGACGAGTCCCTGATTGACCCCAACATCCTTTCTCTCAACATCCTCTCCTCGGGGTACATCCGCCCGGCCCAGGATGACCGGTGAGTCCCCACAGGCGGCAGCAGGTTCTGTGCCTCGCCCCCTGGAGACGGGGTTCGTTCGGATCAGGCCCCGGGGCGTGCTGTTGGCGGCCACACCCTTGCCGGCCCGGCCGTGTCAGGTTCAGCCACACGGGACACGTCCAGCCCCAAAGCCGGGTCTCCTCTGACACCTGAAGGAACAGGATCAGGGAAGGAGGCCGGTGGCCTCAGAGTCCCTTGGTGCGTGTCTGCGCACTGCCCTGCACTGGTCATGCGTCCCTCCCTCCGTTCGGTCGCCTGGCTGTGGGGGAGCTTCGGCTGATGCTGGGCCTGTCCAGCGAGCTCTGTGAGTGGGCAGTGGGTGGGCCGGCGGGCCTGAGTTTCCCCCACCACACGGCTGCGGGTGGCTCTGTGGCCTCTGGCAGGGGTCTCTGGCCGGGGTCCTGGGGGCGGTCCGGGGCACACTGCATGTCGGCCCTGCATTACAGGCAGCGGTGTGCCCACCGTCACTCTGTGTCACTGGGCTGTTCCTTTCCAAGTTCGTGGGTGATGGCCAAGACCTCGCAGCCGGGGCAGGGGGTGGGGTGTGCGAGGCCCGGGGACACAGAGGCCAGGGTGGGTGGGACGTGAAGGGAGCCGCGGGGTCAGCCTGGAGACACTGGTGGGCCCGGCTGTGTCTGCACTGCTGCCCAGGCGTCTCGGGGACTGAGCAAGGCTGCCCCTGTGGGCTCCACCACCTGACCCTCGGAACTCCAGCTGTGGGTGTCTCCACGGGTCCTGTGGCTCTGAGGGCTGGGTGTATTCACGGGGGGTGGGGGACCCCACTTTTGAGGGTCCTGGGGAGTTGCCTCATATCTTCTGACTCCTGGGTTCAGACAGAACCTAGGTCCTTCAGATACCCCAAGAGTGGCCATAAGGGACCATCCCTCAGACAGGCTGCTTGGGGGACAGGGGTAAGAGACCCCAACAGAGCCAGGCTGGAGGCCACGTTGGGGAGAGCAGGAAGGTGAGGCTGGCAGTGGGTGTGGGTGGCTCAGGTGCTCTTCCTGCTCTTGTGAGAACACACCCTGGGGACATGACAGGGCTCTGGCACCAAGGATGGGGCCACAGTGCCTAGGCCATGGGGAGCCGGGACCCCCATGCGAGGGCCTGTGCTCCTGGGGAGGGGTCTGTGTGCCGTGCGGGTGACGCTTTGGGCCTGGGGGACGACCTCAGCACTCCCGACCTCTGACCCTTCCGTTGCCCGCAACTCCTGGATTCTTGGGGCTGAAAGGGAGTGAGTGAGGGGGTGCTTTCTGCCTCTCTCCCCACACTGACGACTGTGTCTGTGGGTCTTCCGGCTATGGGGACCTCGGCCTGGGCTGCACCCCAAGGCAGCTTCGGAGGCTGTGGCTTGTGACTGGACCTCAGGTCAGCAGGGCTCGTGCTAAAAGGGTCGCCGTGTCCCTGGAGGCCCCAGGACCCATCCCCGGGGGCTGTGGGGAGCGAGGCGGTCTCCGGGTGGCTCCAGGCTCCAAGCTCTGTGCCCAAGTCCAAGGCCCTGGGTCTGCGGACAGAGTGGCCTACGCAGGACAGCCCACCTCCTGCCCTGCCCTGGGAAGGCCTCAGGGACCCTCCTCAGCCCGCCACCCCAGCAGGCTCCTCGCGAGGGACCACGGCTGATGTCCTCGTAGTCTCTGAGGGCGAGCGGGGACCTGCGTCACCCGCCCTGGCTCGGGCCTCGGGCCTCGGGCCACCCACGCGCTTCGCCACAGCCACAGCCACAGCCTGGGCCTC